TCGACATGCTAAAAATGTAAATTACAATACAGATTGTTACAGCCTTGTGCTAATTGTATATAGTTTCCATTTGTGGTAACACACAATACAGTAACAGCTATGATACGAAACACCTCTTAACCATCTAACTACGCAGACACATACAGCATAAACCAAATATTAAAGGCGTCTCATACCTTACGGCTCAAATTCAACACCCTCCTGCTTTCTTCATTACTGATCACTTCAGATATAGTTAGCATGCCAGTTCTGGTTCCTTTAGTCCTGCTGAGCCTGACTCTCCCAATTAAAATCTCCATCCCAATACCTCGGCAAGCCACAGATGGGGGTCAGTTTTACAAATACCCCATCAAAGACCTCAAAGATGAAATCTGGCACTTGCTTTTCCATGGTGAACACTTTCTCAAACCCAGACGGTCAAATCGCCCTGACCCTAGCTTGCTCCTTGACCCAATTTAATCAACACAATCCGAACCCATCCATTAAAAATCCACCTTCTGCCTGCACAGTGTCACGTCTTTTCAAACGAGAACTTATTTTAGAAAGTACTGGACTGGCTGTAAGTGGAAACACTGGCACTAGAGTGCTGCTCTGAGCCAAAAAACTCCAGCTGGCTAAACTCAAAGTCTCAAGCAGGTAGCGCAACACAAAAAAACATTAGATATGCTTTACGGGGCTCTCTGAGGAAAGCTGCTTTATACTATGGGCTTGTCTGTTGGGCGCTTCGGCTGGCTGGGGAGACGCCCAAAGGGTACATGTGCATTATCTATTAGTTTAAGCCTGTGTCTGTAGGGGAAAGCCCTCCATCTGTGGCTAACCTCAGCAGGCACAGGCCTGGATGGTATCCACCCTCTTTCTGGCAAGAGAGACGACTTACTAGAGAGAAACAGCATGCAAGGAGTGGCACTTGGGCCAGTGGCATTTTCTTTTGTAAGACCAGGCCTTTACCTTGCAGACAGGATGACTGGGAAGGTTTCACATCATTTGACACATCCTAAATATGAAATGTCATTCAGTATAAAATTATTTTTTTCTACCATAATGAACAGAAATGGGACCCTTTTTTCAGTAAGGCCATTTTCTGTGTCTGCCTAAGAATGCAAACTGTTGAAATCATTGGGAACTCTATATACTTTTCAGACATGTAGTCAAAGTGCAAATATTATACACTGTATATTGCCTACAGTTTTTTTAATACTATGTGAAACTGGTGCTGTTTTTATTAACTAAAACAAAAACTGTAATACATATATATATATATATATATATATGGCAATTATAAATATTAGATGAAAAACGTAAATAAAAAATAAAAATGTTTTTTGGCAACCAACTAAAATAAATGTATTTAAGTTGAGGTACAAAAAAAACAAAAATAATAAATGAAAGCAAAACAAAAATATAAAAAATAAATAAAAAGTACAAAAAAACTAAAATGAAAATGAAAACTGAAAATATAAAAATAAGAAATAATTAAAAATATTCATGAATATTATAATATTGTATAAACAATACTAAAACTATACAAATATACTATGTTACCTGTTGTCAAAAGACCTCACTGAGTTGTTTAATTGAGCAAAAGGAGTCTAATTATCACTTTAGAAATAAAAAAATTCACTTCATGTCTGATCAAATAATGAATCACAAAATAATGATGATACATTCACCAATGTTAAAACATTACAAAAACTACAACAACCAAAATAAGTTAACTGCAATAACCGGAAAACCTGAAACTAAACTAACATACATCATGTTTATACTTCCAAAAGTAAGTAAAATGGCAACAAATTAATTTTTGCTTTTGATGCATATTATATTCTAAAACTTGAAACGTTCACAACCCAACTGCAATGCAACAGCGTAAAACATTTTTAAATGATCCAAACAGTGCATTAATTTTAGAAGCCCTGAAATGAAAGAATGAAAGACAAATCTGTGGAAAAATCTCAAACCAAACTAATACTAACAATAGTAAAAACTATTCAAATCCATGCCAAATTGATAAATTGGAAATTGAATAATACAAGTTCACATACTATATACTGCAGCAAAAGTATGAGCAGTATAGTAAAATGCTATTGCAAACACAGCCAATGAGTATGTTTTGCATGCACACACCTATCAGCATTGACATACAACAGCAGTGCATTAGTACGAGCTCATATGAGCAGAAATGCTTGGAAGTCTGTCATAACAACAGGAAGCAACATGTGTTTGCATGGTTGCCATGCCACCACCACATTCCTGTATTAAATCACCATAATATAAGCCATCCCTGACATGCATGCCAACACGTCACAAACATAACAACTGGCCTGGAAACAGACATCAGTGCTGGACTGACGTGAACCAAGGTTTCCATAACAGGCCCCAAAACAGTTTGATGGCACACAGTGTGTCTGGGTTAATGGCTCCCAGGGCAAACATTCAAAAGAAAACAGTCAGGCAGAGCTTTATAATGCCTATAAACTTCAGGTTTACCTGGACTTTCCTGTTACAGAAGGTTTACCGAAACGGCCTGGTTTAAATTCCCCTTAAGCCGAAGGGCTGATCTGAAAGTCTTAACTGATCGTGCCGAGAGGAAACAGTCCAACAGCAAAGAAGAACCACCGCTAACACACTGCCTGTCACTGAAGGTTACATTATTTCTGTGAGCTATGAACATTCAAAATTGGACAAATCAAAAACTACATTATCGACAGTTCTTGTGCTCCAATTTTCATTAAAGGGGTCATATGATGCGATTTCAAGTTTTCCTTTCTCTTTGGAGTGTTACAAGCTCTTGGTGCATAAAGAAGATCTGTAAAGTTGCAAAGACTAAAGTCTCAAATCCAAAGAGATATTCTTTATAAAAGTTAAGAGTCAGCCACGCCTACCTAAAACGCCTCGTTCTAACACGCCCCCACATATCTACCTCACTATCTGGGAAGATTTGCATAACGCCGCCCAAATGTTCACGCAAAGAAAGAAGGCATAACATTTATTCTCGCTGTAGTATTGTTGTTGCTGCCGCTGCCATGTCGTGAAGAGCTGTGTGCTTGCAACAACTTCACGCTGTGGATCGCCGGATCGGCTTTCACCGTGGACGAAGCGGAGCCCAGCCCGGGGTCGTCACATGTGGTTGCCGCAAGCCC